TAAAAGTTTGGTTGCTGACCTAGTTATACTATAATTAAACTAGCTTCAAGTTTCTCGATTTACACTGGAACTTGTTTTAATACGCTGTTTTATGGCGGGATGAGCTATCTTACGAGTGTATACCTTAGGCACAGACTGAGTTTATTGCTAGACATATAGTTGTCTGCTTTTTTTATGTAACGAAATAAATACCTTTTGACATTTAAAAGCTCTCTTGAGAAATTTGTAAACTCTGTGATCATATAAAAACCTTTTATGATAATGACTCTATACTTTGATATAAAAATGATTGTCATTGTATGTAAGCATACATTAAAGCCGGTGTAGTTACATAACTACTTCATAGTCGGAACTGTAATAACAATAAATTGTTCCAACTATCCCAATAATTATCAAGACCCGGACTTAGCAGAGCTCGTACGGGCGACAGCATATAAAGCTACATACTATGGCTTCTTATGTACGTAATAAGTGCTATTTTACATCGGAAATATTTAGTATGGTGTGCTAACTGAAATCCATGTGAATTCTCCTGCTTTGCTACCATTTGGCTCAAGCAGGATTCGATCTCGCAAATGCAGGCAAGTTTTGTACGGTTCACGAATCACTAAGCCATGTCTCTATCGCCCGTGTTCACAAACAATGCTTGCTTAAGTGAAGCAGAAAATCGAACGCACAGCGCTGAATAGAGCTCTATGATTGGTTCTTGTGTCACCCTGTGCGTCCACGCGCACTGTGAGACCTTATAGTAATGTTTGCGAATACGGGTGTAAGCCATGTCTCTATTTGTTCTATAGTCATGATGACGTAGTCATGATTGTCACCCAAATTAGAACATTATTTTGTCCATAAATTACGAATTCACCAAAAAGGAAACTCTATTAATTTTATCTTCAAAGTTTTGAAAGAAACATGGAGCACTTGTTAGCCTTGAAACCAAAACTTTTATGAGAATAATCGATAAAGAAACAGCTGTCTGTTGTTTTGAAAAATTTGTTTTTGTCCTTAGAGTTTATAAAGTAACTCTATTCTAACAATCCCTATGTACTCAATTTGGAAGCGCACGTTTCACACTTATAGCAGCAAATATACGCATATAATATTCGCAATGCACAAGTTTATTTGAAACATAAATTCAAATACCGATAATATATACCGTAGGCGGTATGCCTGCTCTATGCCGTATTTCTTACACCCATTTCTCTGCGCACTGGCTGGAAAATTAAAAACAGACATGGAAATAGACTTTTCATTTTAAACGCGATTACGAACGGATCTATTTCAAGACGCTTTTAAAGGTCTAGTGCTCAGTCAGTGCCTTAGGTCGTTTCAGCTCATAATGACAATTTCTCAAAATGACAACCGGGACGCAGCGGCACGGCAAGGGTAAATACAATACAATACAAAATTGTTTATTCAGAATCAGGTTTGAAAAAACAGGGTTTCGATTGGGGTTTTCTTTTAAGTTTAAGTAGATACTTGTGTTAGAAAACCCCGCTCTCCATTTACAGTAATTTACATTATGAAATTATACAGCTAGGAAATACCATGCATATCTATTGACTTATTTTACGAGTAGGAACTGAAAAGTGTGTGTGTGTGTGTGTGTGTGTGTGTGTGTGTGTGTGTGTGTGTGTGTGTGTGTGTGTGTGTGTGTGTGTGTGTGTGTGTGTGTGTGTGTGTGTGTGTGTGTGTGTGTGTGTCAAGGGTAACATTGACATGAAAAGACGTGACAGAACATATAAATCTGAACGAGATTCATACAAGTCTTGCTACGTTTGACGTTACAAAAACACCCTCCCGTGCCGCTTCCATACCTCAGGCACTGATAAAGTTAAACGCTATACCTATAGTAGTAGACATCATTTTGCCCGCCTTCAAACTCCAATGCCACCCTATTCAGAAGAATGTTTGCAATAGATCTAAACTCAATCTGCCTTGCTAACCCGCCTTGAAGATAGGGCGAAGAAAGTGCTAGCATTTTATTTTAAGAAATCTTGTTTCATCTTATTTACTTGAATACCAAAGGTTATGAAAATTCATCAAAAGCGACTTACTCTTTTGACACTTTGGTGTTGAAAAATTGTATGTGTGCTTTTGCCCGTGTAAATAAACTTATCGTGAAAGTTTATTTGGCTCCTACACAAGAAATTCTGGATGGGTTTGGATTAAAAAAAAATACATATGAGTTATTATTGAGTATGCATACCTACATGGGATTATTTCTTATAACATTTATTCCGAATATTTGCCCCAGTAGTAGTCGTTGCCTTAGGCTAATTTGCACCACCTAACTTTAACCGTAACAATAACCACAACTGTTGTTTTTTGTATGGAGTTTGACATACTTTTGACGATTGTTTAAGTTAAAGTAAGATGGTGCTACCCAGCCTTAGTCTAACTGTATTCATAAGTACCTTACCTTAACCTTGACAAGTTAATGCAAACCAAATCGCCACTATCAAGATTGATTACATTCTATAACCTAAAATAGTTTAACGACAGAACTCTAAGTCGATTTCTATTTTCGTCATCTATTCCCAATTTCACAAGGATTCCGTCTTGACCCAGATTCCATATAGTTCCAAAAGTGTCAGCTCATAAATCATACTGAGCACACAACGAAAATTCCTCTTGTAGATGACATCGAAAATAGCACGTATTATACTGAAAAGTTAAAATTTCCCTTACTCGTTAACCAAGCGACCATAGGTATTTCACAGTTTGAAATACGGTCATGAGAAATTTTAAAACATGCAAGGCTATTTTTGTGAATGTTAAAACTTTTGAAATGTGAAATGAAAACACCAAACAAAAATATAGAAAGCGTTTTGTGCAAGTAAACGTTCACTGGTTTTGTATGCTTTTCGAGACTCAAAGCGATTTTCTCAATTATATGAACTGTATTTAAGTACCTCTTACTGAGTTTGCTTAGCTTTTGATCTTCGGTTAAAATTCATATATGAAAATGTTGATTTGAATTATGTAGGTACGTGATTACAAAGTCCCTAAAACACGTGTATCGGAAATTGTGTATTCATTACTATGTCTACAATTTCGATCTAATTAAAACAGTATTACGTCAATCCATATTAATCCCCTTGATGCTCGCGCCCATTAAAAATAATAATTAGCTCTTCCCACCGATCCGATTAAGCCAATCGCTAATTACATGTAGCACAACTTTCTTACGTCTGATCAAACTTCCAACCACGAGTTTGAAACAATCAAGACGTTCTAAGGATCGGGATTGGATTAGTAGTGACTTTAGTTCAAGACGACAGATTGCAGCGTATTTTTCCCCGAATGTTGGACGTTTGTAATTCTATCCTCTCGGCCGATTATACGGATCTGGCCAAACTTTTGGGCCAATCACTCGATAGTTTGCGATCTTCTTTTGATGAGGTTAGCGTAACTAGGAAAGACAAGGAAGAATTAGCGCATTATTAGTGATTAGGCTTAAGCAACTGAGGTAGGTACTTATTAGTTTGCGTGAAGGGATTTGAAATATGAAGAAACTAGAAGTCTTAACTTTCGCCGATCGTAAATACTTTTCTATACTTATTTTCTCAAGTAATACTACCTCAGCAGAAGCAACTTAATATTAATACAACGATACGAACAGTAAGCCGTTTTATGGCATTACCGTATTTGTAAAATAAAACGGAAAATCGCAAAAGCCTTGCACTTGTTATTTTTTACGATCTCCGAAGGTTCGGAATACATTCACCGGCAGCGTCTAAAAATATTCATGAATAAGAATATGATTTAGAAACACGTGTTACGAGTATGACCTCGAATATTGAGCTTGCGCATGATTGACTTGACAGAGGCGTGCGCCAGAGGTGCTCAATCGAAATCAAACGACTAATCGTAAACATAATAAATACAGTTCTCTAAAGAACGCTTTGAATTTTATTTAGATAAAGAAAGATTTTAAAATAAATATGAATTTAATTTACCGCTCTAATTTTAATAAATTTATGCGCATCATCAAGATCAGCGAGCGCGCGAGCTTTCTTTCCTTTATGAATGAGACTTATGCCCGTTTTCACAAACATTACTATGAGGTCTCACAGGGCGCGTGGACGCACAGGGTGGCACACGAACCAATCACATAGCTCAATTAAAGCCTGTGCGTTAGATTTGCTGATTCACTTAAACAAGCATCGTTTGTGAATACGATAGATTGAGAAACGTCAGGACAGTACAGTAAAAACTTAAAACATAATTTTTGTTTAGTTAAAACTTCTAGAACAAAGTTATCTAGTCCTGCGAGGTTGCTGGTGTTTTACAAATAACCCTGTAGGTAAGTATAGCCAGAGGTTGGGTCTGCTAGTTTGGGAACCACACACCCAAATTTGAGAGTTGCGTGTCGGGCCGGGCTTTGACCACCACGTTTCCGGACGAAAAGTACAAATTACTGTTTAGGTCGTCAACACATTTTTATTTATACGTAACCCGCGACCAACGGCTTCGTAAGTATGAGTGCGATTTGCTAATGTCGTTTATGGTATAAAAGCATCGTTTGATCGATAAGTCGAGTTTATTGTATTTTTTTTAGAATAAGTGTCGCTAGCCCCACGTGGTAAGCTACATTATGCTTGTGTTACGAGTGGGTTCACCACAATAGTCCAGCGGCGGCGGGGTTTGAAATACCGAATTATATTAAAGTGTACAAACTACAAACACAATGTGAACCTACGAGCGAAAAGAGTACCAAATATACGATGTGTTACATACAACAACGAATACAATTAAGATGTCACGAAGTCTCTGACCAACTAAGTAAGTGGCCTATAATAGCTAACTTTACTAAGAATCTATTTTTATTGTAACTACGAGTACCTGCATATAAAGCTATAAATCATTCTTCCCCGCTCTCAAAGATGGACAAAACCCTTTTAATATTGAAATCTTTATGATGCTTGACTTTACACAATAAAATACTGGACCCTTCCCTAAAAGCAAATAAGTGCACGGTAAAAAGATTTTCTTACCTTAGAATAGGGTTCTTCTTGTCGGGTGCCCTTGATGAAGTCATAGAATATGCAGAGAGGTAGAACCATTATGGCTGGCTCTTTGCACAGAGTGCCCGCAGCCGCAAACAGCAAAGTCCCGGATAATGTGAGCCACTTTATGAGTTCACCAGTTTCTTCACTTACACTATCACTTTGACACTTGACTTTCACAGTACCCGCCTTCACCTCGCAGGCGTCGAGGACTTTCATGGGGCCCGCCCTGCTGGCTTTGAGAAGCCTTCGAAAGTTCATCATAATGTGCTGTACAAGTCCATGGCAACTGAGCCTGAACGTCTGATCGCTCGGCGCGATTTTCCTTTGTAACATAACATTTCTGGTCACGTGTCGACATAACCGTTTTTGTTGTTCCTCTCTGAGTCTTATATGCTCGTTGTAAAGCAGAAAACAAAGTAAAACCAAATTGCAGGCGGCGAGATCTGCCCGGCCAACGATTCCCGAGACGGCTTCTGTGTGTATCGGGTGCGCTGCAAATGTGAACCCGGTGACTACGGTGCCAACTCTCATGCAGTAGTGTGGTAGAATGCGCCGCGCCACGGTAACGACTAGCGCTGTAGCGGTGCAGTGGAGTATAACGTTTAGGAAATGGTAGCTCCACGGCTTGAATCCGCTAAAGGCATAGTTGAGCCGGTAGGTGGCGACACACAGAGGCCGGTACGACCCGTGAGAGCCGGGGTCCGAGAGCGGCGTCCCCCAGAAATCGTTTTCGAATAACGCCTCAATCGGCGTATGCCCGATGACGTCCGGATTCGAGAGGATCGCCCGCCTGTGAAATAAAACACCAATTTTAAATCGGAACTATTTCATGCTCATAACTTTTGTGATTCGCAAATAGTTCTAGTGAGTTTTTAAGTTGATCGCTTTTTTATGCGACGTGGATGCGTTGAACGTTTTATTTTATTGGACACGTTCAACTGAATTACTCATAGGAAATAAATAAATATTATTCATAATTGGTTTCACCAAACTAATGGTAATAAATATTTCCGGCTACAGAATCAAATGGCAAATCATCCATTAATTAGGGATGATCAATCAATTGACACGTGAGAAGTTAATGTTCTAGCAATTATAATACAAACGGAATAGGTAATTAATAATCTACTACTATGGGAATATAAACTATTATGGGAATCGGTGCAGAACATAATATTTACACTGATCTAACTATGAAAGGAACATAGCATTGTCCAAGAAAGTGTAATTTTACAGTCTATCTGATGTTATTAAAAATGTGAGAATGTAAAATTAATTATACCGTTGTCAAAACTAAAAGATATTACGTGTATCTGATAAAATATGTAGGCACCCATATGATATTCCAGAGCTAAAATACTTCCCTCACAGAAAAGCGGTAAACAAACTTTGTATATTGTGTTTTTCATTTACACGTTTTCATTGAATCTAGTTCACTGTTTCTAGGCAAATAATCAAACTGAAACCCACAACTTTTGATTACACTTCCCTGAACTTTAATTTTCATAACTTCTCCCTGAGTTCTTTGCCAAGATGAAAACCAATATTACCTTCGCGTCTTCAGATAACCTTGCTGTCTTACTACGTTTCCGATTCCCATTAGCTACTCTCCCGGGAAATTAGCAACGGACTTCAACTGTCAAATCACGTTAAGTATGATTTTGTTATTGTTTCTGTTGGTATATTCTAACTTTATTACTTCTTAATGTAGCTAGGTAGACTTTAGAACGTATTTCAAAGTTGAAGAGTTCTTTTTACCGAGTTCTTTGTGATTCACTTTCAAAATTCAAGTTATTTTTAGTCCTAATTATTCCGCGAGCTATTCTCGTCAACCTAATTTTAATTTTAGTTAAAGACGCGTACCAACGGTTTAAATTAAGAAGAGTCGCTCAAGTATAAAACTGAAGAAAAATCAATTAATTTCTTATTATTTTCTAGTAATAAGTAAGGTCACATTGAGTAAAACTTAATACTTAAATAACTAGGCTACTTATTGTCTTAAGTATACCTACTTAATTATTTAACGTATTTTGATAAGACGTAAGATAGCTATTTTGAGCTGAAACAATTAATTATGTGGTAACTTTAAATATCTATTTATAAAATATCAATGATAACTAAAATGTAAGCTTTGTGGTTGAATCAAAATGATTTCAAAAGCTTGTTCAATAATGATTGCATTCAGAGTCCGAGATATCAGGTGGCTTTGGCATGTATATTTCACGGGTTGTCGCAGTTTCGGGGAATCCCCCCAGAGGCAGCTTGTTTGCCGGATAAAGGCAAAATGAGCATTGCAGCGGCTATCAGTACATTAAGTTGCGGGCGAATTTGGTAATTATAGTGAGAGGGATAGTCGTTATGATTATTGAACTTTGAGGTAATATTTATTAGATCAATGGTGAATAGAAATGCGTGTTGATAAATCATTCTAGGATTAAATTTTTTAGCTCGGGAGTCAAGGCAAAAAAACATTGTAGAGGTTTTGTTTAGACGAATTTTGTAATATCAATCATAGTTTTTAACCAAACAATCGTATATTGTATAAGAAATCCCAGATGTGTGTAATTTTATGTGCTAGAAAAGAGCAAGGGATACCTAACTATTATAAATACAAATCTACCTAAATCTTTAAGTACATAGTACCTACTTCGTGATAGGTTAAAAAAATATCGGGGCTGTGGGACCTCCTGTTGCTTTTCTATCTAAGTATTTTCAATCGAGTTCTTGTGTAAATATAAGCTTTCTCCTGGCTCAATAGTATTACATTTAGTTCCTCATCCTAAAGGGTTCCGATTGGGCTGTTTAATTTAAATAAAATATCAAGTTTATCCGGAGCGTTCAGAATCCGTAAGGTCACGTCACTGGTTCGCGTCCACCTACATATTCGCGTTCAAACTACGGAGCGCTCTTTAAAACAGTGGATAATACTTTGTAGTATCGTTATAATATAGTAATACGTTCAGGTAATCATGGAACAATTTTAGTGTTGTTAGTGTATCAGCGTGGTTACTTTCTACTGTTTTTAAAACCAAAATTAAGTGGCAGTGGGTGGAGCACACAGCTTGTAGAAGTGGTAGACGTTGGGGCACAAAAGTTCTCTAGTAACGATCACAAACCGTAAATCCTAGTGTAGACAGCCCTTCTGTACGGTGAACCGACGATTCAGTGAAGGTTGCGAAGGCTGGGGAAGGCATTTGTCCAGCAATTTCATTCGCAGACGTTCTTTGGTTGAAATGACGAAAGATTAATCCATCATTTGGACGCTATTAGCACGGTGGACGCAAATAGGTGACGCGACCCTATTTACTGGAGCATTTGCGCAGGGTCGTAACCCGAACGTTTCTGCTCCATACTGTATAAATAATGGACATGTTTAAACACGGGCCGCCTTTGGAATTGATTTCGGCGTATTTGACGCTTCTTGCCAATACGTGCGACGTCGCCTAAATACGGTCCAGTAATCACCCGGACGCTCGGTGACCTTTGTTTAACTTGCCAACGGCCGGAGTGCTTTTGGAGTTAATCAGTGCCTACTGTTTACTGCTGTAGATTCAAATGGGATTTTCATTATCATGATTATGCTGATAAGTGTGAATTTTATTAATTTAATGTTTCTGAGGTGAGCAAATTATGAATGATAATTACCCTGCAATTGATTGTGGTTACCACATTATTAACTAGATTGAGTTAAAATGTGGTTTAAATCTAATTAACATTATTTTATTAGTGAGTTAATCACATGATACTAATCTGAGTAAACCTAATCAAATAGGTCAAATATGTTTGATTATTAAATGGTTTCACTTTCTTTATTTTATTCCTTTTATGAATACTGTGTAATATTACGTTATGAACCGCATAAATGTTTTTCTTTATTTCTCTATTTCATTTGTTTTGTAATAGGTACTATAATTATCTTCGTGACTTGGTATTATTGGCTTTGCCAAATCAATTAATTGGAGCATTCAATCCAAAACCTTCCCGGTCATCACTCTCGAATAAACATGATCCCTTTATCTATAGATCCCACAATGCCCACATATATTTCACCCTTTTATTTTAGATTCCCACTGAAAATCCGGTAAAATAGACGATTGAATAATATATTTTTATGGGACCAAAACCGGGCTTACTATGCGAAGAAGGAAAAATCATCTCTAACATCCAGCTATTGTATTGCAAATTGTGAGTAAGGCGCCTTTTCCTTCACTTATTTAACATAAAAAGTTTCGCCGAGTATTTTGTTCGTAAATGACTTTCGTTTTCGACTACCGCTTTGGATCTCGTGAAAAGACACTTATTAAATGGCAAAATTTTGTTGCGATGTCGAAAATATTTATATTTAACGACTTCGTGTTGATTTTACAAGAGATGGCAACTAAAAAGTTAAATATCTGGAAAGTTTTCATTATAAAAACAACCTTCCTCGTTAAAAATTACGTTCTATATTCACGCCCGTATTCACAAACATTACTATGAGGTTTCACAGTGCGCGTGGACGCACAGGGTGACACACGAACCAATCATAGAGCTCTATTTAACGCTGTGCGTTTGATTTACTGCTTCACTTAAGCAAGCATCGTCTGTGGATAGGTACGGGTGTTAATATAGTCAAGTTTCTAAGTGGCGATCATTGATTAAATCTGAACTAAATGTCTCGCGGACCTTTTTCATATTACATGCGGATCCATTTATCGCATGAAGCCTACATTTTCATCTAAAAAGGTTATACTCTATTTCATACCTTCATCATATTTTTAGGTTAAAATCTTACGGTTAGCGTCGGAAGAAGGTTGACTATAAAAATGTCTAGCTTGACAGTAAAAATAACTTTGTGAGCCACGGTAATGCTACGCATTTCGCTGGGTTTAGCACGAGGTATTATTTTTTATTTGACCTTCTTAACTAGAAAGTATTTAGGCACTTATTTTAACCACTTTTCGTTTATTACTGAAGTAAATTATACGATGAATTGTATAAATTACTGACGAGCCTTCTAAAGTAAAACCTTTTTAATTGTATAATAACCTATTTAGATTAACAGCTTTGATATTTATAAAAGGCAACTACTATTTACTTTCTAAAACACATCAAGCATCGCTCAATCTACATTCATGTTACCCCTATATCGACATACAAAAATCGGGGCAACATCAACATGACCGATATGGGAGCGGCATCAAATCGGTATTAGCCGATACAAGTTTTCATATCGATAAAAACGACTCGCATCGCTAGCCGAATTGAAGATTGAGATAAAGTTTCGGGATAGTGGAAGTTTTTGTGGGGAGTTTCGGCCAGCTGTGGCGTTGAGTCGTCACGTAAGCCCTCAATTACGAAATACTAAAGTGGTTTTCGGCGAGCTCTGATCCAGAACAAAGTTCATCGATTCCATCACGATTATCGGCTGCCCGTCCGATTTAGAGAGAGCATTTGCACATCTAAAAAGTTGGGTAGAGCAGTATATTTGGAGTCTGTTTCGCTTGAACTAGTTAAATTAAATACAACACGAGTATAAAAAGTCTAGCAGTTTTTGTTTTTATTACTAGTCTAGTAAAATATTTGCTTCCAATTAGGATGTCAATAAAAATATCAGTTAAACAGAACGAATATTTTACTGACAATACAAAAAAATATATAAAATCTGATTTCTGTGAAAATTAAAATAATTGAATGATGATATTATTATCAATTTTCTTACTTAGTCTTCATCATACCATTTATATGCACATGTTAACATGGGCTAGTGTCAGCTTATAACCCTATTTACCTAACATCCTGTATATCATAAATGTTTGGATTTTTCAGATACAAGAACTAAACAAGAAAATGGCACAGTGGGCGAAACCTTTTACGATTGTCAGAAGATTCATAAGTTAAAGTCAATATGTTTGATATCGTTCGACTTTCGCAAATTGAATAGAACAATTCGAGAGCATTCCCATCGCTTTTGTTTTTCGTAACTCGTGATTACTTCGCATCGGGACTTCTCCGAGACTTATTTCAAAAACCTTTTATAAAGGCTCAAAATAGATGAATCGTGAAGCCTAAAATAACGTTATCTCGAGACCGTTGTTTTGAAATAAAATAAGAAACGAATTCGTTTGACCTCTCTTAGTAATTCCTTTCGCTGTGCTCGAGATGCCGTCATATTGAAAATAGGAAAATCTACTTTAAAGTTTTCTTAAAAGGACGGACTGATGGAAATGTCTAGTGAGTAGAAATATCAAGCAAGTATTCTTCTTATAACATAGCGTAACTCTCATCTCATACCCCATAAACCGATATTAATATACTAAGTCAATCTCAAATATCCACACGGATATTCCCAAGACGAATAGCATTCAGAATTCAATAAGGAAGGTGTAACCCCATCCCCTACCACCATTACAACTAGAACCTATGTAAGTTAGGCAATTAATAACGGCAAAGCACTTTTGTTTTACAGCCTGCGCCCCTGGGAACCTTATTTATTAATTACTGTAGAAATCCCTACGCGGCTTTTCTCAGAACAGGTTCTTGGTAAGTGCCTACACAAACCATTTCAAATTATATTCTTAGGTACTTTCGTAATAGTTCTGGAATTTTAAACAAATGACAATCTAGAAGAAAAATGAACCTGAAATGAACGATTGAGGACCATTTATTTTTCTGAGAAATGCTAGTACTGAGAATACTGAAGTAAGTTCAAATGATTTAAAAAATATAAAGGGACAGCAAAATATCTGAACGTAGGTATAATATGTATTTGCGAAATATTTAGATGTTTTTGGATGTTAGATAACTTACTCTTTGATCATATTTATGTACGGGACTAATCCCACCTCTCTCCCACCCCTGTAACTCCTCTACAACCAGGATCTACAACTTGGTCTTCAATGGTACCAAACCAGAGAAGGTTAATAAAATTAGTCCCGGAGGATAGCTAATTGTCTTGGAACCCGCAACGAATTTAATCGGAAGAATATAGAACAAAAATAATAAGAATTTAACACAAATGGCGTACTTACCTGTCATCATAGACGAATCCTGCGTCCAACGAGTTGTAATAGAGAAGAAAGGCCAGCAGAGAGCTGGCCGCCGTCACCCAGTGACCCATCATTCTGCCGAGTCTACATCAGTGCCGGACTTCCATTCCACCTGAGGAAAACAATTCATTATTAAATATGATAATCTATACGAATATTATAAAGGTAAAAAAAATGTTTGTTTACTTGTAGGTACGCTCTAATGTCAGGAACTACGGGTCCGATTTGAAAAAATATATTTGTGTTGGATAGTCCATATATCGAAGAAAGCTTTAAGATATTATTACATCACCCTACAGCCAACAGAGGCGAAGCAGTAAAGAAAAATGTTTCAAAACTGGAAATATTATTCAAACTAATTTCACGCGTACGAAGTCGCGGGCACAGCTAGTCTAAAATACATACTTCATCAACAATGAAACTTCACACTTCGCAAATTCTACTAAATCTATAATTCCACTGTTTGCATCGTAAAGTGATATTAATTATTCAACTTGAAATTAATTATGATCAACACAAACTACATGTTTGATAAGTAATTTGTTTTCAGCATGTTTCAGTCTATAATTGTTGATTTACTTAATCAACGACGTGGATTTGTTACAGAAGATACATCGTTTAATATTATGCATTCGCGTAATCGCGCAAACGTGGTCGCCCCAAACAAACTTGGCGGCGCACTGTAGCAGACAAGGTGAAGAAAATCGGCAAGACTTGGAGCGAGATCAAACGCAAAGCTTAAGACCGAACGCGATGGAGGACTGTTGTGGATAGGACATAAAGTCAAGTAAGTCATTCGCGTAATTTTGGAAGTCATCGTCCTGTGGCTGAAATGATGATGATGACCTACTGTAAATTTAGACAAGTAAAATTAAGGGATTTGAAAACAAAAGATTTATACTCCGTACCTGGCCTTGAGGGAAAACCCCGAGCGAAAAAAATAGTCATTGCACATTTTTACACATCCCAATATAATGACTAGTCCCATAATATTTATGGATCATTTTTATATTAATATTTGAACCCACCCATATCCACAGCCGAATCAATCAAACTAATAACAACGGTAGTGGTGCTAATTTGATAAGTACAGAGTGATTAATCGGTCTCTCAGCCAAGTGAGAATGCGGTTGGAGCCATTCAACCATTTTGCATTTTATTGCCTGTACAATATAAACGATTTTGCATTGATTAACTAAGAGCCAAAGCGGTGCGACGCGCGATACGTCGAAATCTTTGCAGTGCGGCGCCGCAACGCATCTTGTGCTTTGGCACTATTGGGTGAATCCTACTAATTTTTTTGAGGATGGATAGATAGATGCTTGTGACTCTTTCAGGCTTTATCCACTGAACCGATTTAGATAAAATTTGGTGTAGACATAGTTTGAAAGCAAGGGAAAAATATAGGATAGTTTTTATCGCGATATTTGGAAGGGGGATACGAGAGCGATTAAAGTCTCTGTGTTAAGAAATTTACGCGGGCAAAGCTGCGGGAAAAAACTGATGTAGGTATAGGTAAATAAAGCTGGAAAAGGACATTGTCAGAAACCGCCTTAGATTCCTGGGCACAGCAGTAAAGTATCAAAATTAATCTCTCACTTTTTGAATACTTCAATATTAATTAGATTGTAACGGACACTTGAGGATTAAAAAATGAAATAATAAAAGTATTTTATATGTATTCCATAATACTATGACGACATCCGGACATTTTAGGGCGTGGCCTGCTCCATATCCTATGAAGTTCCATAATTTGTGTCGATAAAATCTATGTAAAATCGGCACAAGGCAATGCCGTACTTCATTGTTAGGAATCCATGTAATAGTGATGTTGACTGCGGTCATCATAGACAATAAGATACCGATCTTGTAAATAAAATAAATCGTCCAAATTGCTACAGTATGACTAGATTTTAATTAAAAGTTAAAAATATATTGCACGATACTACAAGAAGCTATCTAATGTGTCCAACTGGTCGAAGGTCATGAATAAAATAAAAAGAATTGTGATCATAACACTGATATAGACAATGACAACAATATGGGATCATCTTTAATATATCTGTTACAGTTTCAAAATTCGATGAAAAATCCAATGCCGCTTAAATTTTACTCGACTTGGCGGTTGCACTACCGTGCCCCCAAATATTTTAGTTTTTCCTTGATTCATACACCAAACACTACTTATATTCCAAATTTGAAGCTTCTAGGTCTGCTAGAAGTGCCTTAGAGTTTTGATGATCGGTGAGTCAGTGAGTCAGTGAGTCAGTGAGTCAGTGAGTGACAAAATTAAGTAACTTTGACCCGTTATAATTCTTAAACTACTGGTTCAAATTGAATGAAATTTTAAATATACCGTGTCTTTACAATGCCTGCATAGCTAATGAAAATTCAGCCTTCTAGTTTTATCCACAACGAAGTTACAGGCAGTCGAAAATGGCCTGAATTGCTTCGAGAAAAGGATGGTACGGCCGTGCCGCTTTTTTGCTCGACTTGGTGGGGGCACTGCCGTGCCCCCAGATATAAGATTGAAAATGACGTTTGAAGGAACTTTTGCGGCTTACTTTGGAAGTTTTTTATACTTTAAACTTTACATCACCTTCTTTCAATCAAGTTACGCGAGCTCTGTAAATAATACAATCTTTAGCGCAAAATAACATTTTTTTCTTCATCTTTATACCTACTGTTCAGTTTTAACTATTTTTACTTTTAGACCTAATTACTCAGAAGTAAATATAATCTACACTTATATTGTATTTTGAATAATAATTTACATACGCGAGATCAAATTAGTAAGTAGTTAAATATCCACATAACTGCTACAATAATTTTACATAAGTACCTAATTAAAAACTTACTTAACATACAAAATACTCAGAACAAACGGTTATGAACATGTTTGCAATAAACGGGAATCTTTTGTAAAAAGTTACGTGTTGTCACCGTCGAAGGAATCGCGGCAAAAATTAAAGCGTACGGCCAAAATAGATGTTCCGGGACCGTGATCGATACCGTACTTGATCGGGTTGCAGTTGCAACATAAATCTACTAAATGTGAAAACTTTTGTTACGCTACGGCCGGAGACACGAGACAGACGCGACGTGAAAAATGTTCCCAATGACTCGACGCTGTTTTTAACTATTTCCAACCGTTTCACCGAAACCATTCCCAAATTAAAATCGCTTAAAGTAATGAAACCGGGCAACCTTAGCACGGTTAATGTGACGACATGCCGTGAAAAATTCGCTAAATGTAAAAGTTTTTGCTACCCTTTTAAATAGACTGAAATAGAGTGTTAACTTGAAATTCGCATTTGGTGGGCTAAATCAAATTTCAACCTTTGAGCGCTGGAAATAACAGAATTCAAAATGAATTCTCAAATTGTTTTTCTTGTAGATAAGTAGCACTTCTATTGAATAATAATGTCGTCAATGTATACCGTACAAATCGTAAAATCTGTACGTAAAGGACGGAAATGGAGTAGATAGAGCTGTTACTGACAATTACAAATAGTATGGGATAGGCTTAGTTTAATTGACACAAAAGCCCAACTAATCCATACATTCAACCTGTATTATTCAAATGTACAACCACCAGCACATCGGACTATAAAATCTAAGTTGCAAAATCATCCCTATTATTATTGAATAAGATACTTACCATGTAGGTTTTAAGCTACAGGGAGATCAAATTCGATAATTCGAAACAAAATGCGTTAATGTATTCGATGCAAAAAAAGAAAAAACAATTGCGCAACGACAGTTATTTATGCGCATTTCAAGGTCCGTTCAATTATTGCGATTGCTTTTCGCGACCCATATTTCAGTGCTCACGTACATAATATTCGTCCGCTTGCCGCTGTCGAGCGACGTATCGTTCAATCAGTTTATGCAAAACAAAAGAACGAACGCCGTGTCCTGTTAAATACGTAGGGGGACGCTGGCAGTCGGTTCCGTCGCGGAAACGGTGACAATCCAATTTGTTTCGTACGTCCACCACGATAGAGTTCCATTACGCTTGAGTGAAACCCGAGGAAGGGTTAGGTAAAAACAATCTGTTTTAGTTATCATCAATAAAAATGAAGTCCAATACGGATGCTGGTATTATTTTTATTGGTGCTTTCAATTTTACGGCGGACAAGGTAGAGCAGAGCATAAAATATAGATTTTATATACATTTTATTTCCCAAATAAATTAATACTTGGTCTATTTATTAAAAGAAGACGTATAAAAATAGTATATTAATTAGGTTGTGGTATGTTTTTCAAAAAATATAATTTTGAGCAAACATTGTTAATTTATCATCAAAAGTCTCTTACCAGATCAAAATACGTTTCCATGCAAAACAAAACGAGATTCAGCGAAAAAGGATAGCCAACTTTTTGTTTAGCGAAGTCAATCCGGAGTAATAACTTCGATTCATTTGTTATGGCGGAATGAACCAATCGCGCAGGCGGATAAAGCAAAGTTTGTGGACCGAAAATAGACAAAGGATCAGATACAGGTAAATAATCCACGTAAGCTAGCGGGGGAAGCATTCGCACTATTGTTTCCTCTGTAGCTTCGATTCGACCCGTACCTACTCGTACGTAGCGTCGAATAGTTTTGAAGCATTATATCAATGTGTACACTTGTATTATTGTTTTACGTCAATGTGCACAGAAAAATAATATCTTGTTTAAACAGAGTGAACTCTTTAAATAGCGAGTACTAGTGGCTTAGAAGCAAATGATTGACTTCTAGACTTATAACTTTATGTCAAAAAAGGCTAAGAGCGTATATTGGTTTTTATTAAAGCACACAAGCAGAATAAACTTCTATAATAATATAAATATGTCTCCAATATCTAATAACTCATGAAAGCAACTTTGCTGTCCTATTTTTTTCGATTTAACCATTTTTCTAAGATGTTGATATTATGTCTTCAAGATCTCCTGAAGTATTGAATCCAGGTCAAGGTGCTGCCTACAAAGATATCAAAATCAACATAAACATAATATTATACTAAATCAAAATGAGCAAAAAATATCACCAAGTATCGGTAGGTATTTATTGTTCAGTGAATTTTATTTTAGAATTCTCACGTCAAAATAATCC